TTGCTCCAGTGAAAGTTCAAGGAAAATTGGCAAATGTGGAGAGAAGGTCCAGGATTCCTAAAAATGGAGGAGAAACATTGGCCTCAAAAGAAAATCAGCAAGGAGGAGATCCTGGAAGAAGAAGAATTAAGAAAAGAATTGGATGTATATTCTGACCAAAAAAAAGATCAAATGGAGGAAGAAGTTCCAGATGAGCTGAAAGACAGAACCTGGAGTGAATTTCTTCCTCATGGAATACCAGATGATGAACAAACAGTGGAATTGCTGGAATCAAAGGAAAAAGAAAAATGCAAACAACATCAGAACATCTATTTTTCAGCAGAGATAAGTAAAGATCAAGGTAAAAAAGAATCAACTCCTGGATTTAATGGTTCTTTAAAAGGTCTTTTGTTTTTCATGGACAGTGAAGGATTGTTAAGATTGCAATCCAGATTTGAAAATGCTGAATTCAAGTCTTTAGGTGAAAAGGTGCCAGTCATTTTGAAAGGTGACTCAGATCTGCCAAAACTTCTTATCATCAGGGATGTTCACCAGAAGCTCTATCTCTAAGATGCCAAGACCAATAGAAACACACGTGGCACCCAGCATGAAAATGGATTATGGATTATCAAGTTGTCAGCAGAAGGGGAACTCCCATGAAAATATACTGCAATGCCAGAACAACCTTTAAAGGAGGCAAAAAATCTTCTGCAAAAATGTTGGATCATCAAAAATGGCATTGAAAAATGTCTTGATGCAATACAGGACAATGGTAACATTTGATTGTATGCTAAATCTGATGACAAAAATTGAGGGTGATTTAAATAGGAGACCAATTGCATTTGATGATCATGACAAAGCAATTTCTCCCTATGACATCATTTCTCCAGCAGCTTCAGATGTATCCTGTCCTGGTGGATGAAAGTCAACACTCAATACAGACAAAGATGTCAGAAGAAAATATGAAGGAGATATACCTTGGACAAGATGGCCACATTCAAAATACCTTCGTGACTGTTGATGGTATGCCCAGGAAAACCGAGTGCAGCACAGTTCATCACGTCAAAAAAAGTCACTGAGTTGACATGTCGTTTATAACGTCAGAATGCAGTCATTTTGAGACATGGTAAAAAGTGACATGAAGAAGACACAAGGGGAGTGCGTCTCATTTGGACATGTCTGAAAAAGACGGGAAGTTGACTACAAAAATGACACGTCGGTTATTGGAATAGTCTGACACGTCAGAAATGGACGTGTCAGTGACGCAGGTATAAATGCAGTGAAAAGCTTGTATGCAATGTGGACACGTCAACGTCGCGTCAGAAAGTGACGCGGTGTTTCAGAAGCACCTCAGATCCATCAATAAAAGTACATTTAGACAACTATTAAATGAAATGACTAGGGAATTGTATAATGCAGTGTAATGACATTGAAATGTTGAATTGTTGTGCCCAAAAAAAAAATATTATGTTTCACGTTCCGAAACGTCACTCAAAAATTTTGGGTAAAAAGAATGATATTTAACGTTTTGAAACGTCACTCAAATGTGTTGGGTACAAAAATGTAAAGTGCAAACTTTTGCACTTAGTTGTACATCCCAATATCTAAACTCAGTACACTGTATTGTGAGACAAAGTATATAGGTATATATGTATACAAATAGTTACGTTGTGCAAATGTAAACGATGCACAGACACACAATGCTATATTAAACGTTTTTATAGGTCTTACAATATCATGTATATGAGTATAGTTGCATAAAGTGAAGTCAATTTTTCTGAAAATTTGAATGACGTTCCGAAACGTGACTCAATATGAATGGTAAAATTTCCAGAAAATTTGAGTCACGTTCCGAAACGTGACTCAATATAAATGGTTAAATTTCCAGAAAATTTGAGTCACGTTCTGAAACGTGAAACGTGACATATAAATTTATTTTTCTTTTTAACCACAAAAGTTAACATTAGCATTATACACTCACTAAACGCAATATTAAACGTTTTCACGTCATTATACACTCACTAAACGCAATATTAAACATTTTCAGGTCTTACAATGTAATGTATATATAATGAGTTGTTGCACAAGTGGAATTTGAATTTTCCCAAAATTTAGTCACGTAGTTTTCAAATGTGACTTACGACTTTGTGACTTACGTCAAATGTGATTTACAACTTTGAAGACAAATTTTCCTAAAATTTGAGTCACGTTCCCAAACGTGACTCATAAATTTCTTTTTCTCATCACTCTACATTAGCATTATATACAGACCAAAAACACTATATTAAACGTTTTCAGGTCATACATTATACAGCAAATAATAAATACTTGCAAAACTTGATGAAGAATGTTCCGGAAATTTGAGTCAGAAAGTTTTCTTCTATCAACCAAAACAATTAAAATTTTCATTATACACAGTCAGGTGTGGTCAAGAGAAGAGACATCTACCTCCGCTGACTAGAAAAAGTCATGATCACTTTTTACCAAGAAGGTGTTGTATGGCGCTAGTAGTCTCAAGTATGGCGGCGTCCGACCGTGGCGACCAATCTTAGGATAAAGGAACGTCAAAGAAAATTCTACACTTGTTTACATAAATAGTAACACTTGTTCATAGGACAAATAAAAAACTTATTAAAACTAATGGTCACTAAACAGTTACATTTGTTATTTTTCCTCTCCAGATTTGTGCGAAATAATGTTCAACTTCACTGACTTTGTGGGTTTGCGCGAATGTCGCACATATGATATCGGCGTATCAGAGTATGCAAGGTTTGGTGAATTCATCACGGACATTTTCTTCAAAAAACGAGCATGGATGGATGGGATTTTCAAACTCAAGTGTACTCCGGAGTTGATAGAAGCCTTGGATCCCCAGGGTAAAGGAATTGTCTCCTGGACATCTGAAGAAGATGGAACACTGTGGTCGCGAATCCGTGAAAAATCTGTGGGGAGAGTGTTGGAGCAGGAACTTGAAAAAGTGCATGAGCGTGGCATCTATGCCAGCTACATGAGTGAATCGAAATGTGACGCGAAGAGTGCACAGGAGTTTTTTGACTTGGCCAGGGAAGAAGGATTGATGCATCCGATAAGGGAACCACCACGACCTACATTAGAGGTTGTAGGAGGTCTTTCACTGGGCACCTTTTGATTCTTCGTGAGTTGACTTCAACTCTTGGCGTTCGTCATGACCAGACGGGACTCTAGTTACGTTGTTGGTGAGAAGACTCCAAAAATGAAGTATGTGACCGAGATGAGTGTTCCAGAAGTGGATTCTACAAGACTGGATGAAATTCTCAACCAGCAAAAGAGGCCAAGTGATGTAAGTTTACCTCATACTTCATAGCATGTTTCAGCTCCAGTTATGTAAAATAATAATAAATTTTATAAAAATCCACGTAAAGACAGGACTAGAACAACTGGACGGACCTAGATTCGAACCATTGAACAAGTTCTCAATACTAGGTGGGGTCCACTAACTTCCACACAGCTCTCCGTTTTTCTTCATGGGAACAAGAGGTTCATCATTCTCAATGCACACCGAGGACATGGACCTCTTTTCCATAAACCTGCATTGGGGTGGATATCCCAAGATTTGGTAAGTTTAATGAAAGTTCATTTTTGTAATTCTTGTATTATAATAATTCCAATAATTGCAGGTACAGCATGGGTGCACGTCAGGTTGCAAAGTATGAAAGCATTGTGGAAATTGCAATTGGCAAAGACTTTCCACAATGTGGCAACCTTCCGCGGCACAAAATCTACATCTTTGATGAAACTTGGTTGGACCATCATTGCCTGAATGCATGTGTGGCAATTCAATACCCCTACGAATTCATCATCACCACACCAAAAGGACCACATGGAGGGTTCAACACTGGGCTCAACCTAAATGTGGCTGTAAATTATGCAGTCCCACTTTGGGTTGATTATGGTTTGAGGGCAAAGTTCTGCTATTGTGAAGGGTAAGTTTTCAAGCATGATAAGCCATTTTTTTTACTTATACCTAATGATTCTTTCTTGAATTTGTATTGCAGATCTCATGAGAACAATGTCCGGTTTCCAATGGAACCATTTGTGCGACACTACTGCTGTCCCAAATTGTACAAGGAGTGGATCAAGAATGGACTGAAGAATTTCCCTCGAAACAGGCCTGACTTGACTGCCAGTGGAATCGAGAAATATGCTCGTCCTCCAACCCTAACTGAACTCAAGTTAAGCAAAATGTAAGTATATTTTAGGAATAAAAGTTGTTTGCACTTATACTGATGATGGAAACAATTTCAGACCATCAACGGATGCTGAATTGCAATATGAAACCAGAGGTGGAGATGAAGTGCAGAATAATCTACTTCATGTTTTAAAGAAGAGAATTGCCTTCTTGGAAGGGAAAGTCAATGATGTCCTTGGATTAGGGTAAGTGATCAGTAATTTTATCGAAACTTTTGATGTTATTATGGATTATACATTACGTCTTTTTCTATTTCCAGGATAAACAAGCCTGAATCAGTTTCAAAGAAGCACTTGGCACTGATTCAACAAGAGGTTGACAAGAGGCGCAGAAATTTGACGACAGGAGAAGACGCAATTGGAGAAGCGGAATTGGGCAGCGAGATTCCAGACAAGTTACTGGATGTTGGTGCGATCCTGCTCTTTGAAGAAGACATGAAGAAGAAGTTAATTCATGATGATTTTGAAGAAGAACAGAAGCGAAAATTGAATGAAGAAGATGATGATGTTGTGTTTGTAAAGAATTCTTTGAAGAAACCTTGCTTGGAATGAGTAAAAAGTGGAAAAGTTCTTTGATGTTATGCTACCTATTGATCCTTATATTCCAAAACAGTGTATACATGTAATAATGTTTGTACTAAACAAATTCTCTTTTCTCCTTCCTTACAGGTTATTGTGCAAAGAAGAAGGACAAGAAAATGTCTTCAAAACCGCGTAAAAGTGCGAAAAAAGTGTGGAGTGAGAGTGACATCCAAGGGATGAAAGCAACAAACTTGAATGCAGTTGCGCTTTACCGAGCTTTCCGGGAAGGCTTGGACAAGAAGGTGCAATGTGTGAAAGGTCGTGTGACTGTGCAAAGTTACACAAAGTTTTGTGAAATATGTGATGCTGCACAGAAGTACTTGGATGGATACTTGAATGAAACACCATGCATCAATGAAGGGGAGGAGGATTCTGCTTCCTTTAAACAATTGAAAACCTTCATTCTTCAAGTCATGGAAGAGCATTGTAAGCATCTGCTATTCTTTGTGTAATATAAAATTATTATATATTGACAACCTATTATAATTTGATACATGTTTTGCAGCAATGACGAATTTGAAAGAAGTGGTAGCATTCAAAAATGAAGAACTTGAAGGTGCTGCTGATGAGGAAAACGTTGATGATGCCGAACCACAACATTCTCCAACATCCAGCAGCCTAACATCACATCCAAACACTCCAGCTACTCTGTCTGATCCTTCGGCAATGGCTTCCTCATCAGGTGAGCTAATAATTGTGTTACTTCTTAAATAAATTTAGTACATGTTAAATAAACATCTGGTAAACGGAGAAGGAGAAAAACCTGGCAACATATTTTATACAGAAAAGTTGATATGCTTCACTGCTTCCTCACAGATGATACAGATGATGAAGTTGTTCCTGTTCATTTCATTGAGAAGCCTTCAACCACATCATCTACTCGTCAGGATGAAGTGTCTTTGGAAGCTGTGATATTTTCAGAAAGAGGTATGTATGATACATACAATGTCTTCTTTCTTGTTTCCTTTTAGAATCTGGAATATTTGAACTTGAGAGATTCTAAAGTTTTGAATTATTCCAACAACAGATGATGCAAACACCAAGAATGATCCTGTTCCTGTTGACAAAACCCCATCAAGTGTTACTGCAGGGCCATCATCAACTACAACAGATGCTGCTTGTGCAGAATCAATGGACGAGTCCTCAGAAACACGTGAGTATTTGTAAAAGTCGGGTTGATAACCTTTTTTGAAGTAAAAAATATAAAAACATGAGTGTGCAAGCCCTTGCACTGAGTACAAAAAACTCTTAAACTGTAATTACAGAATATGTTACCGAAGAAAGAACAAAGGAAAAGTATTAAAGCTTATGAACTTGGACTCTCTAAGATTTCAAAACTTAATTTCCAACAATACAGATGATGCAAACACCAAGAATGATCCTGTTCCTGATGACAAAACGCCATCAAGTGTTACTGCAGGGCCATCAACTACAACAGATGGTGCTTGTGCAGAATCAATGGACGAGTCATGTTCATCTGACTCCTCAGAGTCCTCAGAAACATGTGAGTATTCCCAAAAAAATCAGGTTGCTTAAAAATTTGTCTTCCATTTTTTACAAATATTTATCTTATACATGATAATGTATACATGCATACATTATATGCATATTAATATACCTCATATTAATATACCATATTAATATATACCAATAATATAACGCTTCATTGTAATCCTTATTAATATTTATACATTACATGCCCTTCACTATGTCTTCATCAACTTATTTACTTACAGATGAAAATGCCCTTCAAAAGGATGCTGCGGGACTGAACATGCTGGAACCAATGTCATATCTGGCATTGGTTGATGAGAAGAACTTCATCTCCAACCAAGTTGTGCCATTCTTGATTGGGCTGCAAGAAAGTGGTGACAAACTGTCAGAAGAACTGCGAAAACAACTGGATGGTTTGAGAATCACCCTTAATGACCACACTTTGAAAGGACCATATGATGCTGACCCCTTCAAGTACACTCCATCAGATACTAAGGAGATCCTTGAATGTACTGATGAACATTGTGATGCAATGGATAGGGGATGCCAGATGTATCGTCAAGTGTACGAAGCACACTTCAAGCTCACGGTTGCCTTGTTCCTGAGGCTGTTGAAAGTTGATGCCTTCTACAAGGAGAAGGAGTGGGACTGTGAACTGGTTGACTTTTGTGGCAAACATTTTCTAAATACTTGTGTGTACTTGAATTTAATATACTTAAATTTAATATATAAAATTTGAGTCACGTTCCCGAACGTGACTTATAATTTTTTCATCTTAAAATAATGTTAAATCTGCATTATACGGCCACTATACACTGTATTGAACGTTTTGAGGTATTACAATATCATGGATGTTATAAATACTTGCAAAGATGTGAATTACATTTTCTGAAAATTTGAGTCATGTCCCCGAACATGACTTATAATTTTTTCATCTTAAAATAATGTTAAATCTGCATTATACTGCCACTATACACTATTGAACATTTTAAGGTTTTACAATATCATGGATGTTATAAATACTTGCAAAGATGTGAATTACATTTTCTGAAAATTTGAGTCATGTCCCCGAACGTGACTTATAATTTTTTCATCTTAAAATCATGTTAAATCTGCATTATACTGCCACTATACACTCTATTGAACGTTTTAAGGTTTTACAATATCATGGATGTTATAAATACTTGCAAAGATGTGAGTTAAATTTTCCAAAAATTTAATTCACGTCCCGGAACGTGACTTATAATTTCTTTCCTTTCTTGTCCAATTTTTACAGAGGAGAATACAAGCTGGATACCAACAATACAATAGTTCCTGGATCCCTCCGCTTCATTTCCACTGGCAATGAACCTGACAGACGACCTGATGAATGGCATCAATATCGCCTTGTTCCTGATCTTGTTGAGAGGAATGTGAAAAGTGGGAAAATTGTTGAACGATACCACAGAAGGAGCACAACGCCCTTGGACAAGATTATTGATTTTAGTCCAATAAGTAACATGCCATTAGAGGAAATGCATCTGTGCGACGGTGGTGCTATCCCAGCAACATTGCGCTTACTATTCAACATAAAACCTAAGAAAGAAAAGAAGAAGAAAGCCGTGAAGAAAAGAAGAGTCAAACATGTGAAGAATAAGCCTGCATTGGAAGGCCAAAGGTTATCCCATGTGAGAAGCAAAACACTAAAGCTTGATCATCATTCTACAGCCATGCATGAAGAACTTGAATCTGCTGATGATGAACCCATTACAGATGTCTACAAGTGTTATGAAAATGATCCGGATTATATGCAAAACCATGCTTCAACTTCACACAGCAGTCTTCCTCACGTTGATGCTGAACCATCTCTATCTGATAAGAGGCTGTGGAACACATTAATTTTGAGGTGGAGGAAATTCACACCCAAGATTTTCTCCCGACAGTGCCGAACCTTCAATGCAATGCACTTTTGGAAGATGGCTGAGACAAGACAGTTTTTTTTCTACTACGCCATTCCTTTAGTTGTCATGTCTTCGTCATTTTCAAAGAATAGATTTCATGATTTATTGATGTACATAAAAGGATATCTACTGCTGACTGGGAATCGACATGAACCTGTAAGTCCACCCGTACTGAGAGAGGCAGACCGTCTTCTAAAGGCATTTGTTCAAAACATGCAAAAGAGATCAAGGAATTGGAGCGTCTATAAGTGTCATTCCTTAGCTCACTTGGCGCAAGATGCCCAAATGTTTCAATGTCATCTTGGAAGCCTGTCAGCATATCCGTACGAGAATATGATGCGTATTTTTAAGAAGGTATGTGTAATGTGTATCCCATCAGCAATTGAGTTTGTAATTTCTCTTTCAATTGACCTATATTGCAGCTAGGATCAAGAAGCGGCAAACATGTGGTTCAGCAAANGTGACCAAGTTTCTTGAACATGAAAGGGATTCAATTCATGGCCATGAAAATGAAGATACTGTCAACATAATAGGTCATGCAACAGAATGCGTTGGAGCTTCAACTGCTCTTGAAGAGTTCTGGGAAAATGAACAGTCAATGGAAGGTAAAAAAGAAATTATGAGTCACGTTTGGGAACGTGACTCAAATGTTTGGAAATTTCAGTCACGTTTTGCAACCATTTATACCATTTAATATAAATTGTATGACGTTAAAAACCTTGAATTAAAACCTTGATTAATGCCTATTGTGTCTGTAACAGAATGCATTGGAGCTTCAACTGCTCTTGAAGAGTTCTGGGAAAATGAACAGTCAATGGAAGGTAAAAAAGAAATTATGAGTCATGTTTGGGAACGTGACTCAAATGTTTGGAAATTTCAGTCATGTTTTGCAACCATTTATACCATTTGATATAAATTGTATGACATTAAAACCTTGAATTAAAACCTTGATTAATGCGTATTGTGTCTGTATAATGCAGTTGAGTCTGTTTAATGCAAATAATGTGAAATTTTGTGGTTTTAAAAGGCAAATGTATGAGTCACGTTTGGGAACGTGACTCATAATTTTTGAAAATTCTTCTTCAAGTTTCCAACTACTTCTCAAACTTGTTTGCAGTTACTGGCTTGGATTACACTGTACCTCCACTGTTGCAAGAATACGTACAACAGGGCCCAGGAAAACAGTGGTCTTTCCTTGAAATACTGCGTCATTGGTCTTCAGCAGATGCAACTTCCTTGGATTCCATGACTGACTTGCTTCGTTTACTTAAACACTATTTGAAGTGACAGGAGAGCTGATGATTGAGTGTGGTATTTTCAAAACTGTCATGTTGACATTTCAAGCGCCATTTCCATCATCAGACATTGGAAATTTTCGTATCATTGGGGGGCATGATGCTGTGAAATGGCGACACTTTTGTTTTGCAGAGATATTGAAAACTGTTTTTCCTTTTCATACAAAATTTCAAGTTGATAATAGGAAATCGATGCATACTAGTGACAAACATCAGGAATGGATTTTTCAGGAAATTCATCTCTGATGATTTGTATAGAAATGTGCCATAGCTGTATAATACGCAGTTTTTTTTTTCGGATTCTTCTTGTGAATTGTTTTTACTTGTTGTACAATATAAAGATTTACGGTATGGTTTTCTTACTTTTTATGTAAAACATCTTTTTGTATTTGAAGTGTATATCTTTTGTATATGTGAAGTGCTGTATAATAAAAAAATTAAACTCAAAAGGCTTGGTGTACTACAAATTTTACATACAAAGTAAATAGTGTATAAGAAATGTGTAATAAAAGTAAGGTTAATCTTAATTGACGTTCTGGGACGTGAAACAAGAAATTTGTTGTAATCATGGCAATGTAAGCGTTCCATGAGACGGACACCCTCATTGAAACCAAGGGAATATCCATGGCATAGAACGAGCACATGCCACAATCAGTTCCTTATACTGCCAAATAAGTTGGCTCGATACATGATAGATGGGGGCAAGACTTGGTCTTCATCAAATCCAAGTCCAATGCCCCATCTACCGTATACAAAACCAATTCAGTAAAAGGAAGTCCACTGGCATCAGGTGCAAAACTTTGTCTTTGTTATTTTTAACAACATTAGTACCCATTGTAAGCGTTCCATGCGCCGGACACCCTCATTGAAACCAAGGGATTATCCAGGCATAGAACGAGCACATGCCACAATCAGTTCCTTATACTGCCAAAGTTGGCTCGATACATGATCGATGGGGGCAAGACTTGGTCTTCATCAAATCCAAGTCCAATGCCCCATCAACCATATACAAAACCAAATCAGTAAAAGGAAGTCCACTGGCATCGGTCAAATGAAATATTTCATGTAATAAACTTCAAATAACCCCTAAACGTATGAAAAGGACATTTCAAGCGTTTTAGTTAAGTCATGTATGGGTAACAGGTAGTTCAAAGTATGGTTAATCTTAATTGACATTCTGGGACGTGAAACAAGGTAAAAAAATCTTATGCAATTATCACAAAATATTTCATGTAATAAACTTCAAATAACCCCTAAACGTATGAAAAGGACATTTCAAGCGTTTAAGTTAAGTCATGTATGAGTAACACGTAGTTAAAAGTATGGTTACTCTTAATTGACGTTCTGGGACGTGAAACAAGAAATTTGTTGTAATCATGGCATTAGAACGCACACATGCCACAATCAGTTCAGGTGCAAAACATTGTCAAATAAGAAAAATTGTTGTAATCACGGCATTGTAAGCATTCCATGCGCCGGACACCCTCATTGAAACCAAGGGATTATCCAGGCATAGAACGAGCACATGCCACAATCAGTTCCTTATACTGCCAAATAAGTTGGCTCGATACATGATAGATGGGGGCAGCTGAACCAGAAGTAGTTTAGGTTCAGGTTACGGGGTAGATGGCATATGTTTTGGTTAAGTCATTTTCCTTCAGGTGACCGTAGTCCACGTTTTGAAACAGTTTGTTTAAAAATTGTTGTAATCATGGCATTGTAAGCGTTCCATGCGCCGGACACCCTCATTGAAACCAAGGGATTATCCAGGCATAGAACGAGCACATGCCACAATCAGTTCCTTATACTGCCAAATTGTAATCATGGCATTGTAAGCGTTCCATGCAATGGATGACACCCTCATTGAAACCAAGGGTATATCCATGCATAGAACACACACATGTCACAATCAGTTCAGGTGCACAAATGTAACAGCAATTTAAAAATCACCAGAGTCCAGAATCCAACGACAATAGGAAAACATCCGACTCCAACCCCAGGATCTTTCAGTATGCATTTTTGCTGAAAATTTGCACCCTTTTTATTTGAGCAAAGCACTGAGTCACCACTTTTGGAGAATGGGTAACTCAAGGACGCGGGGGATTTTCTTCCACCATTTGTAAAAATTCAAAGTCAAAGAAACGAGCTGACTCGTAATTTAATCTGCGCATCATAGGATGCGCCCAAAGAAAACGGGAAGATAAGGGAATCCTCAGAACTGGGGTGCCACAAAAATAAGATATAGCTGAGAAATCGGCGACACAAAACTGTACAATAGAAGAAAAGAACGACCCCCAGAATTGGGGTGAAACAATTGATGAATCGGCGCCTGTATCTCCCCGGAAAAGCCCCAGAACTAAGGTGCCGCGAAAATAAGATATAGCTGAGAAATCGGCGACACAAAACTGCTGCACAATGGAAGAATCCTACATTAATGCACTATAATTCTTGGAAAGACCTTTGAATACTTTCAAAGGCTATTTAAAGTGTATTAAACATAAAACGTGTTAATTATTCAATTTGTAACAAACTTTTTTACGTTTAACGTTCCCAAACGTCAAATAAGATTTGCCTTAATTTCGACTGAGTCATGATAAAGGAGATATTTTATAAGATATTTTATACAGTGTGTTAATTCATTCATGTTTAAAAAGTGTGTACATGTGCTTTCCATTGTGTTTTTACAGGAAAATCCCGTTACAAACTTAAGGTGTCATATTATCTTACAGAGAATACTTTTTAATTTTTAAATTTGTGAACTTTTTTCTGATTAACGTTCCAGAACGTCAAATAGGATTTGCCTTAATTTCAACTAAGTCTTCCACCTACATTAATGCCCTATAATTCTTGGAAAGACCTTTGAATACTTTCAAAGGCTATTTAAAGTGTATTAAACATAAAACATGTTAATTATTCAATTCGTAACAAACTTTATGTTTAACATTCCCGAACGTCAAATAAGATTTGCCTCAATTTTGACTGAGTCATGATAAAGGAGGTACATTTTGCGGTGCCAAAATCCAGAGTGTTCATACAAAAAAACTGTTATTGAAAAACGTCATGGAGAATATTGAATAAATATTTCAGGCGTGACATGAAATATTTTAATTCATTTGAAATCTTTCATCTTTTACACTTGTGCAGGCCAGATTTTGATGAAAACGTTAGGTAAAAGATTTGGACACAAGCAAGTGATACTTGTTCACGTCGCAGACGTGACCAATAAGTCAAGTCATTCCTCGAGGCGTTAAGCTGCGTGCATAACACCTCATGGAAAAGTTTCCATTATTAAGATATTTTATACAGTGTGTTAATTCATTCATGTTTAAAAATTTTGTACATGTGCTTTCCATTGTGTTTTTACAGGAAAATCCCGTTACAAACTGAAGGTGTCATATTATCTTCCAATAAAAAATCAAACATGTCTTCTGAGGCAAATGATATTTCTTCAATGAATGAAGATTATGTTAGTGTTTTCAGTGACGACATGAACAAAACTGTCACTGAAGGCTTAGTCTTAGATGATGGTACTGTAGTCATAGAAGATAAAATGGAGTGCTTCTTAACATTCAAAAAATACTACAACCCGCAGTATATTGGGAATTTCACGGTAAGTTTTTATTAACATTTTTATGCAAGATGTTATTTTTCATAAGACACATTTATATGAACAGGGACAAGGAGTGGACGGAAATCTGGACGTTCTTTATGAACGTGGGTCAAGTGAGCCTAATTGGCGAGGTAGATACACTGAAGGGATGAAGCCAATCAGGCTACCACTACTTTATGCCTCAATTGAATCATATGCCACCTTATTCAAATTATGCATATGTAAGTACATAACAGGATTAATGTATATTAAACAAATGCAGTATATAATCATGATTAATACTTTTTTT